CAGAAAATTGATCCGTCCATCCTCCTCTCCCTACGGTGCACCCGATCTCTTCACTCCAAAACCAGACGGTAGCTTACGGATGTGCATCGACTAACGTGCACTGAACAAACAGACAGCACTGACTACAGCGCCAATACTCATCCTACCAGATTCAGACAGAGACTACGTTATGGAAGCAGACGCTAGTGACCAGGCAGTCGGAGCAGTACTGATACAGTATCACGGAGGCGGTTTACAGCCCATCGCCTACCTCACTAAGAAGCTACACGGAGCAGAACTGAATTACCCAATCCATGACAAGGAAGCCTTAGCGATAGTCATAGCCTTCAAGGCGTGGAGGTGTTACCTAGAGGGAGCCAAAACTACAGTCTATATGGACCACCGCAGTCTCAAATACCTGAAGTTGCAGCCGACGCTCTCACGACGACAGGTGCGGTGGGTGGACTTCCTGGAAACCCACTTCCACTACGACATCATCTACAAGTCCAGGCTACACAACAAGGCAGACGCATTGAGCTGCCCCGGACATGTAGCAGGCATCTAGCTCGACGGGATGAACCCTCTGCTCAAGGGTCTATTCCAACATGGGTACTCCGTGGACGCAGAGATCGCTACAGCACAGACTAAGAAGCTGTTACAGTGGGAGAAGGACTTAGCTGTAAGAAAGGGATCAAGAAAGATTTGGGTACCAAACTATGCCCCGCTCCGACAGATTCTTCTGGAGGAGTTTCATAACGTACAGTACGCGGGACATTTTGGGAGCAACAAGACGAAGTAATACTACTGGCCCGGGATGGCAGCAGACGTGCAGAAGATCGTCGCCTCATGCGACACGTGCCAGCGGATGAAGAGTAGCAAGCAAAAAATAGCAGGGTTACTTCATCACGGGACTTCCTTCGACCTCACGAGGGCATAACGCTATACTCGTGGTGATCGACAAGTTCTCCAAAATGGGTCACTTCATCCCGACCAACGCCATGGCTACAGCTGAAGCAACTGCTCACCTCTTCTTTGATCGCATCATCACCATCCACGGCATCCCCGCTACACTCATCTCAAACAGAGACCCAAAATTCACCAGTAAGTTCTGGAGGGAGCTCATGGGGCTGTTGGGGACTAAGCTTGCGATATCTTCAGCATACCACCCCCAGACTGACTGACTGACAGAGCAACTCAATCAGGTGGTTGAACACTTACTGCGCACAGCTTGCGAAAACGACATCAGCCACTGGGATCTACAATAACCGACGCTTGAGTTCGCTTGCAACAACGCTTCGTATGCGGGCGTGAACCCAAGTGCCGCAAGAGTAGTCCTCAGTGTGTCGTGCCACTCACATGGCACCTGATGGAGACCGTAGACCGGCCGCCGGAGACTCCATTGGGTACCAGGAGGGAACGACCCAGTGCAGCCAGGAGGGCGGTGCAGCCAGATCTCCTCGTGCAGGCTGCCCTGCAAGAAAGTTGTGCTGAAGTCAAGAGAGTGAAGCTCGTAGTCACGCTGAGCAGCAACGTGCAGTAGCACCCGAAGAGTGGTCATCGTCGGGGTGGGGGAGAAGGCCTGAAAGAAGTCTACTCCCTCTCGCTGACTGAAGCCTCGAGCAACGTAACGAGCCTTGAAGACAGGCGGAGAACCCGGCGACCGCTTCACCCTGAAAATCCACATGCCACTGACGATGTTCGCCCCAGGAGGGGGAACCTTGTCGGCGTAAGTGCCAGTTGACTCCCAGGATGCCATCTCTGCGTCCATGGCCGACTACCACTAAGAGGAGTACTCACCCGCGATCGCCTCAGCGTAAGAGCGCGGGGTCGGGGTGTCTGGAGCATCCGGGTCTCCCTCAGGGGCAAATAGCATGGACACGAGATGAGGCGCAGCGACTGCAAGAAACTCAAGGTCCTCCTGTCTTTCCTCAAGGACGTCCGTGCCTAGAGCACACTCACCCCCGACGGACGGAGGACAGACAAACTCTGACTCAACAACAAGACTGGCGGCGTAGTCTAGACGAGAGTGAGCAGCAAAGTCGACAAGCTCAGCAACTAGGGCAGACACAGCAGCAGACTCAAAGGAAGGGTCAGTGACAGCAGTGGTCAGGAGACGCGTGACAGTAGGACTGGCAGCACGAAGAGTGTCAGACTCCGGGTCAGCAAGAACAGGAAGAGAGGACGCAGGAGGAGACGGCAGAGGGACACGCTATGGAGCAGTGGAAGGACGCAGAGTCATATATTGTGTGCCAGGGACAGGTGGAGGACGCTCACGCGGACCACTGTCGGACCAGTGTAGGGAGAAGGACCAGGAAGTGGCGAGGCAGGCGGTAGCTGTGACTGCGACTGGACAGGCGGAGGACACTCTAAGGAGGGAGGAGGACTAGGAGGAGGCGGCTGACCAAGGACATGCTGAAGGAGCGGATCGAAGTACGGCCGCGGCCGTGAAGTGCCCCCAGAAGGAGCAGAGACAGTTCCAAAATCTCTAGACGAACCAGCACCAGCAGCACCTCCAGCAGCTCCAGAACCTCCAACAGCACCAGCAGCACCTCCAGCAGCTCCACAGCCTCCAGAAGTACCAACAGCACCTCCAGCAGCTCCAGCACTTGAAGCACCTCCAGCAGCTCCAAAACCTCCAGCCAAACCAGCACCAGCAGCACCACCACCAGCTCCAGCACCAGCAGCACCTCCAGCAGCGCTAGAACCTCCCGTGGCAGTAGGGCCTCCAGCGGGCGGTACCTCAACACTAGGAGCTCCACTCCGGAGGCTTCAACGCCAAGTGTACCACTCCCGCAGCCGCTGGGGGGAGGGAGGCTTCGGCCGCAACACTGCACCCGTAGGGCCACCAGCCCCAACTCCAGCAGACCCCCCAGCTCCAGTAGCCCCACAACGGAGGCTGTAACGCTGGGAGTACCACTCACGCAGCTGCTGTGAAGAGGGAGCGCCAACACGCGCAGTACGGTTAGTCTTAGAGCCTCCAGCCTCAGCACCTCTAGGCTCAGCACCCCCAGTCGCAGCACCCCCAGGCTCACCACCGGCAGTCTCCGCACCCCCAGACTCAGCACCCCCAGTCTCCGCACCCCCAGGCTCAGCACCCCCAGTCTCCGCACCCCCAGGCTCAGCACCCCTAGTCCCAGCACCACCCGGCTCAGCACGCTCAGCACCTCGCGCAGGACCAGACTCAACAGCTACCTCGACAGGCTCGACCGGGTCTACCTGGGAAACATCTGAGGGAGCAGCACCCTGGAGAGGGAGGGGGTCTACCGACGGGACACCTGGGGTGAGGAAGAGCAGCGGGGGGGGGAGCGGGGCAGTGCGGTAGGGGAAGAGACGGTAAAAGGGTACCGACTTGTCAAAGGTGACGTCCTGAGAGGCGAAGACACGGCGCGAGGTGGGGTGGTAAAACTGCCAGCCAGGCGCGTCAGGGACAAAGCCAAGGAAGACACACGGAACGGCATGGGAGGAGAGCTTGTCCGCCGACGTATTGCGGACAAAGGCTCGACATCCCCAGACTCAGAACACCGACGCATCGCCAACCTCCCCCGTCCAACGCAGGGTAGGCGAGGTCTCCGGAACAGAGACACGGGGCCAGAGGTGGAGCTGATGCGCGGCGTACTGCACTGCAAACGGCCACAGGAAATGGGGGGCAGCCGCATGGATCATGGAGGTACGAGCGACCTCCATGACAAGACCAATGCGGCGCTTAGCAACCCCATTCTGCTGCGGAGAGGCCGGGAGAGTGAACGTCTGACGGATGCCGTGCTCCGCACAGTAGGCTGCCAAGAGGTCAGAGGAGAACTCGCCACCTCTGTCAGAGTGCAGACGTAGGACAGGAAAGTCCGACTGGAACCGCTCGCGGAGCTGGAGACGAGCAGCGCGGATCCAGGGGATCAAGACATCAGGGACCTCACCCTTGGTATGCAAGGGGAAGACCGTGGTGTAGCGCGTGTAGTCGTCGACGACCAGCACAAAGTACCGCTCGTGGCCCTGTCCCCGGACGCGGGCGGGGCCCCACACGTCCAGGTGGAGAGTCTGCAGCGGAGCCTCTGTGGGAGGGAACGAGGAAGAGTGAGGAGCGGCACAATGCCACCCCTTGACACAGGGAAGACAGGGTGGAGCAGGCGAGGGTGGCAGGGGAGGGAGAACTCTGGGAAGACCAGAGACAAGGTACCTTGAGTGCATGCCGCGAAGGCGCTGCACTGACGGGTGACCAAGGCGGTGGTGCCAAAGGACAGTCCTGTGCGACAGGGAGCGACACGAGCAGAGGGCTGACAGCTGACCTGACGCAGACGCAGACGCAGCTACCTGAGGGGACTCAGTGGTCAGTGTGTACAAGTCCGACCCCGGCTGCCGAGTGAAGGTAGCCAGGTGACGACCCGTTCGGGCACACGTGCAGTGCGTCACACGCTCGTAGGCCGGGGTGAACTGGTGAACACCCGCGTCCTGGAGCGCGGAACCCGCCACCAAGTTTGTAGAGAACGAGGGGAGGTAGAGGCCCGACAGCGTGCCAGACAGGACAGCAGGACAAGGGAGGGCAGTGGTGGAGGTCGCAAGGACCGGACCCCCTGAGGGGTCAGCCAGGGAGATAGCAACCGGTCTAGGAAGCTGCTCTAGGGCAGTGCGGTCGCGGAAGAAACAACGGGAAGCACCTGAGTCCAGTGTGCAGGGCCTCAGTAGGTGCGGTACCAGCAGATGTAGACGCACTAGCACCTAGGGCAGCAGCCTCACCAGGACCTAGAGCAGCAAACGCGCTAGCACCTAGAGCTGCAGCCTCACTGGTCCCAATACCCGGGTCGGGCGGTACACTCAGGTAACAGTCACCCTCAACACTAATAGTCAATGCATACATAGCAGCAAGGATAGCATCATAATCAAGAGCAAAGATAGCAATCCCCTTCCTAAGCAGATCAGCCCAGTGGGGCAGCTCAGAGGCGTCAGGGAGCTGCTCGCGCCAGGCGTTGTCGAGGCGAAAGAAACAGCGTTGCGCCGTGTGAAACTTCCCACAAGTCTGGCCAGTGCGGTCACCTGTGCGGATGACGTACGGGCAGGTACCTCCACCCCCAGACCCCTCACGCTGAGAGTACCACTTACGGAGCTGCTGGGGCGACGAGGGCTCGCTGGGGCGGTTTTGCCGCTGCCTCTGGCCGCTGCCGAACCCACCACGCTGCACCGCTCCACCGCGCCCTCCACCAGCTCCACCGCCGCCACCACTACCACCACCACCACCTCCACCTCCACCACCGCCGCCTCCACCACCCCCGGCTCCGCCACTGCCCCCCCCACCACTAGCACCACTCCCACCACTGCCGCCACCGCCGCCACCCCCTCCACCCCCTCCACCACCACCTCCCCCGCCGCCGCCTCCTCCACCCCGGCCCCCCTTGCCCCTGCCGCCCGTGCGCCTCCCACTGGGAGCGAACGCAGCTCCGACCCCCTCGGCACCGAGGTAGTCAACAGCAGCAGCAGATGCAATGGAGGGGAGAAGGGGGGAGGGGGAACATCCCTCAAAAGAAGGGAGTGCGAGGGTCGCCACGAGAGGCACCTACAGCTACAATGCTCTTCTCAGCTGCGAGGAGTTCCTTCTCGAGTAGGTCGACAGTGAGGTGTGTGGGGGAGAGAGCGAGAAAGTGGTCCCTGACAGCGCGAAGAGAGTCAGGGAGGCGAGTGACCAGGTGGTAGAGGGTGAGGTACATCGGGGGGGGTTCTTGGCTAGGAAATCGGGGGGGAGTGCGGCACGGTAGCGGAGATCACTAGTGCCGAGGTGAGTGATGAGGTCAGCTATAGTGGCAAAGGCAGACAGATTGGGGAAGAGGTAGGGCAGTGAGGGACGGCCTATCGCAGCAGTGGCAGGGGAGGAGTAGCGGGGAACTACAGTGTCATACAGCTCCTTAGCGGTCTTATGCTGGCCGAAGTGCTCGTGCTCATCTAGCGGCAGGTGGCTGCGAACGGCTAGGCGAGCATGGGCGTCACGAGTCTGCCACTGTGAGCGAGCAGTACTGTCAGCAGTAGTAGGAGGTGCGGGAGCAGCGCCGGACGTGTGGTCATAGAGGGAAACATCGTCCTTGGCAGTGATCTGGAGGTACAGGTGAAGGTCATCAAGCCAGACATCGAACTTAATCGGGCGCCTCTCGGCGTCAAAGGTGAGAACAGTGGGACTGGCCATAGTGGCAGTAGCAGTAGTAGCAGTAGCAGTAGTAGCAGTAGCAGCACTAGCAGTAGGAGCAGGAAGAGCAGTTGCTGCAGATAGGGCGACGCGGCTCGGTCAGGGCGGCGCGACTCGGGCGGCGCGACTCGGGCGACGCGGCTCGGGTAGGTATGGCGGCGCGAAGGCGGGCCTATGCTCGGTGCGCAGCGGCGCCTAGGGTGCGGCTGTGCGCGGGCCGCTGCTGCGTTCGAGCGGCGGCTAAGCGCTAGCTGCAGCAGCCGACGCGCGATCGCCGCGGCGTACTGGCTGCGACCTGTGGGCGGGCGGCTCTGGGTCGCGCGCGGCCTAGGGGCGACTGGGGCCTACGGGCGACGGCCTGCTGGGGCTCGCGAGGAAAAAAAAAATCGGGCCACCCTAGGTGGCGAATTTCCTACGCGCGCTACAACGACGGGGCCGCGCTCGGGCTGCTAGCGATCTGAACACGGGCAGCGTGAGAGGAGAGCGCACGAGGGCGCACTAAGGGAGAGGCGCACGAGGGCGCTAAAAACAAGGGGGGGGCGCACAAGGGCACCTCTAGCGGAACGGTGGGCCCTTAGGTCTAGAACCTAAGCTCTGATACCATGTCAGAAACAAGAAGTGGTGAACTAGAAATTTGTTGGAGTACAAGTAGGAAACCCTAGTGAAATGTACCTCCTAAAGGCTAACCCACTGTAGCCTACACAACGGAAACATATATAATGTTTGACATCGTTGCTTTTACTATAGTTACTATAATTATAGGCACCGTACTAGGTTGAGTGCACCGAATTTTAGGCTTTTCGATTGCCGCCAAATTGCCTTCTACCGGATTTGGGAAGGACCCATTCGGGACGCTTCGCGACCCGCGGAACCTTCTAGTAACACCCGGGTTACTCCCTTTGTGTTGAGCCTATATATAGCCTCGCCTTGTACCCAGGTGAATCATTCAATAGATTTATCTTTCCTGAACCAGATCCTCATAGCCCCGCCCTCGCTTGGGCGAAGTCGGCCATGCCTTTTGGAGCACAACAGTGTTCGTTTCGTGGTCATCGGCGATATCCGGGACTTTAATCTGGGTGCAACAGCCTCTGGGACTCTGATCTCTGCGCGACGGATCAATTTTCGACGAGATTAATTTGTCGAAATATAAGTGTTGTTTCTGCTCCACGCAATTGCCCGTCAACGAGGCACTTATCGACGGGAGGAATTCGGCGTCGAAATCGAGCCCCACTGGTCGACGAAATTCAAAAAAACGGCGTTTCGACGAAACTCTGGTCGAGGGAATTAAGCGCGGAAGAGGCATCATCGAGCGGAGTGAGTCCGGTCGACCGAAATTACTTGTCTCCGAAATTCGCAATGTGCGCGAATTTCGACCAATCAGGAAACAGCAAATTTCGACCACTCAGATGATCTCGGAAATTATACTTTCCAGGATGATTCGAATCAGTAAGGAAATTGAACCTGAGGAACGTTTCTACTAAGAGCGTATTCCTATCGTCGTATCAAGAGAACCTCATATCAACCTCCCACTAAAAATTCCAATAAACCCAAAACCTCTTGCTAGTTTTACCAGGCAAAAAGTACAATCTTTATATGAGGTTCTCTTCATAGGAGGATAGGAATACGCTCTAACAGTAAAAACGTAAACAACTCTGAAAGTTGTAAACCTCAGAAACTGCCAACTCTTGTGAAAGACACATGTGCTTGTCGTTGCACCTGCGACTCATTAAAGGTGCTTGCTTGTCGAGGAACGTTTCTTCAGGGTTCTTTGTCTTTGCTATTTGGTTCTCCTTCCTTGTACCATAATCTTGTTCTATCAACTGTCCTTAGTGAAACTATGCTCGAATTCTGTCAAGAATCACTGCCAGAACTCTGACCATGCGTCCCACGCAGTTCAGCTCTCCCTTATAATTGCATTCTCCGCAGGCAAGCAAGCAATCTCGTCAGTAGTTGGCCCAACTTCTACTGACTGCTGGTGTTTCCCTGTCCCTGTGACTCCCTCCCCTGCTCTGCTCCGCGGCGCCTTAGCTCCTCTGGGCATTCGCTTTTGCAATGGCCCAACCTATTGCAAGCAAATCAGCGCCCCTTAGATGGCGCGGCAGCTGCATTCGTCGCAACGGCGTGTACGGTGGCGTGCTCGATCGGTCCCCGAGGGCGATGTACGTAGTAGGACCCCGGTCTCGGACGGCGCAAAATGTCGATTTTCTCGGCGAGCGCGAGGATCTCGTTGAAATTCGAGAGCCTGCGTAGCATGATTTTGTGCGAGATGTCCGGCATCAGCCCCCGACGTAATGGTCCACCCGCTCCGCTTCGTGCATGTAGCCGTCTTGCTCGCATAATGCGAGAAAACCGCTCGTATCGTCTTGAACCAACCTGAGCTGCCGCCAAGTACGCAGTCTCTGACGCGCCGATATAGAGCCGAAGCGCGCCCGAAGCCCTTCGCACCACGCATCCCACGTGCTGTACTGAGCGGCTTCACAAAATGAACTCCAGGTGACGGCTGGACCCGTGGGCCCTTCCTCTTGCGACTATGGTTTTGTAGGCGCGTGGCGACGTCACTATGACTCGCCACCAGTCCATGGCGGGGCCCCTCAGCAGCGAGACGACATATCGGATCTGTGAGAATTGAGGAATGAAATGACTAGGGAAAATGTGGGTACAAGTAGGAAACCTAGAAATGTTGTACCCTATAGTGTCTACCCCACTACAGCCTACACAGACTATAGCATATAAGTTTGACACACCCCCATAGGCAAAGTGGGGGAGAACAAGAGGTCACAAGACCAGTCAAGCAAAGCAAAGCAAGCTCAGGGTGGATCACAACGTCACCACACATTCCGAGCACAAGAGCAAGGCCACAAGGCCAGTTCACATGCAAGATCATATATAAAGGTAAACAAGCAATTGCAGGTATAGAAAGATCACAGTACAAGCAAGGTCAAGAAGTGAGCAAGTGAGGCCAAGTAAGCACAAGACCTAGCATCGTACACAAGCGCTGATGATCACAAGGCGGAAGTGCCTTGGTAAAGATATCAGCAGTGCTGGCCTCAGAGGCCACGTAAGCAAGGCGCAGCTGACCACGCTGCTTCAGCTCACATGAGCAAGGAAGTAGCGAAGAGCAATGTGCTTCATTCTGTGCTCCAGTCTGTGCTCCCGACACAAGGCCAGCATGGCCTTGTTGTCTACGTACTGAACTGGAGGAGAACGAGGCGGCTCTCCTAGGTCAGTCAGCAGGTAGGTGAGCCAGCGTAGCTCCTGTGCAGCCATGGCCCCCGCGTAGATCTCAGCCTCACAGCTGGAGCCGAGAACAGTAGACGAGCGGGTAGACCGCCACGAAACAGAGCTGGAGCCAAGGCTGAAGGGGTAACCCTGTGACGACCACTGCGTAGCCTGGTCGTCAGCCCAAGAAGCGTCTGCGTGACGTGTGAGGACCATTCGACGTCGCCCTCCAAGCACTAGCCCCATGCCCGACGTACTGCACAAGTAGCGCAACACCCTCTTTGTCAGAACATTATAGCTTATGCTATTGTGTAGGCTATAGTGGGGTATCCCATAGGGGGTACAACCCAACTAGGGTTTCACATTTGTACTCGCTTCATTGATAGTTCATGTCATTCTCGTTCAACTTTTCTCATGGTATCGAGCAGGTTCCCCTGTGGGAACTGCGCCTAGGGCCCACCACTTCGATTTTTTTTTTTTTACTGCCCGAAGCGCGCTCATCCCGAGTCGCGCCTCGGGCTACTAACTCGACGAGCCGCCCTAGCGGCTTTCCCTCCCCTAGCGGCCCTGCGGCCCTACTGTCGCGGCCCCGCCGCCCCTGATTCTCGGCCTCGCCGCCCTGCTTCAGCGGCCCCGCCGCCCTGCTTTAGCGGCCCCGCCGCCCTACACCTCGCGGCCCCGCCGCCCTACACCTCGCGGCCCCGCCGCCCTGCTTTAGCGGCCCCGCCGCCCTACACTTCGCGGCCCCGCCGCCCTGCTTTAGCGGCCCCGCTGCCCTACACCTCGCGGCCCCACCGCCCTGCTTTAGCGGCCCCGCCGCCCTACGCCTTGCGGCCCCGCCGCCCTACACCTCGCGGCCCCGCCGCCCTGCATTTCGCGGCCCCGCCGCCCTACACCTCGCGGCCCCGCCGCCCTACACCTCGCGGCCCCGCCGCCCTGCTTTACCGGCCCCGCCGCCCTGCTTTAGCGGCCTCGCCGCCCTACACCTCGCGGCCCCGCCGCCCTGCTTTAGCGGCCCTGCCGCCTTACACCTCGCGGCCGCGCCGCCCTGCATTTCTCGGCCTCGCCGCCCTACACTTCGCGGCCCCGCCGCCCTGCTTTAGCGGCCCCGCCGCCCTTCTGCTGCGGCCCTGCCACTCTCCTCTCCTGCAGCCGACCGCCGCGCCGCCGAGTACCGGAGGAGCCGCTCGGCCGCCCACCAGCCGAGCCGCCCTGCAGCCGAGCCGCTGTGCAGCCGAGCCGCCCAGCAGCCCAGCCGCCGAGCCGCTGTGCAGCCGAGCCACCCAGCTGCCGAGCGCCGAGCCGCCCAGCCGCAGAGCCGCCCAGCCGCCGAGCCGCCCAGCAGCCGAGCCGCCGAGCCGCCCAGCCGCCGGGCCGCCCAGCCGCCGAGCCGCCCAGCCGCCCGACCTGCCCTGTCCGGTGAGCGCAGCCCCACTTTCACTGCGTGCCCTTCCCCTACTGCTTGCACTGCTAGGCTACTTTCGTCATGGCTACCCCTAGTGTCCTCGCTTTTGACGCTGAGGGTCGGGCCATTGACTTTGAGGTCTGGGTAGACGGCCTGCAGCTGTTCTTACAGTGCGATAGGGCAGATGGCCTCTGTGAGAGGACGTCCCCGTTATAATATTTTCTCACTATTATATTTTTCCGTTATCTTATTTTCCCTTTTCTCCTCTTTATTTTGGTCTTTATCTCATCTCAATAGGCCTACTATTCTATTTTCTAGAGCCTTCTATTTATTCCTCTTATTCCCTACGTTTCCTACCAACATACCTATTATACGG